GAAAGCCGAAGAGGGACGGAGGGAGGTGGGAGAGAAAGGAACCCCAAAGCGCCCCGGAGCGGCGGCGGCTGCCTGCCGGTGTTTCCCCCCTCCGCGCCCCCGCGAGACACTTGCAGAAGCTTTGCGCGAACTTCTCTCTTCGCTGCTCTCTTCGGCTCACCGATCGGAGGCGACATGCAAATGACTCGGCGGGATACCCACCAATCAGGAGCTCCGGGGGAGCCGGAGGTTGGGCCCGCCGCTGAAATGTGAGCCGGGCAACCCGTCTGCTGATACGTTTCAGGCGGGCTGGATGGGCGGAACCAGGAAAACGGGCAGGGCGGAATGAAAGCAAGCCCGAAGGAGCGAGAGGGCGGGGCACTGGGCGAAGAGAGGTGACAGAAGAAAGGAGCCATTGCCAGGGGTTGGAGGAAAAGGAGCCGTGTGCACCATGAGCCGAGCCAGCGAGGTAAAGGTAACTGCTAAGGGAGGGTTTGGATTTGCGAGGTCCGATCTCTGGCCCTCTGCACGTGCACGTCCGACCTTCCCGCGCGCGTCTAAACATGGTTGACTGCCAGCAACAGCAGCGAACAAGACCAGCTTCCCAGGAAGCGGGCTGCAGAGTGCAGCTGTCGACCTGTGCAAAGTTTTAATACAGCAGTAACACCTGAAAAGGGGGGTTGGGGTGTGTCTTTTATCAAGTTCCGATAAATCTTATGTTCTGTTTTCCGAATATCTTCTGTTATAAAACCTATACTGCTTAAGGGACAGGTTTTGAATGAAAATTATTAATGCATTTCTCGTTCTGTGCTGTTTCAACAACTTCAAAACGCGTTTGCATTTGCCTTTCCTGAGAACATTCTCACAAGTAAGGAACATGAAAATGAATGGGAGCTTTGCTATTCCCCCCCCCCCCGGTGTGTAAAAGCCCTAATCTGGGGGAGGGGAAGGAAGGAAAGAGGAGTTTTCACAAATGACTGAGGGAGAGCCTGTTGCAGTGAAAATAATCTTATCATATCTTAAGTTAGTTGTTTAGGCCACAAAATAAGACATGGGAGCCTATGGCCCTCCAGATATTGTCAAATTACAGTTCCCAGAAGCTTGGACACCCGCGTTCCTCCAATTCTGTTTCAAAGTGACACCAGGCCAAGTATTTTCAAGTACTGTAAGTTTTTTCTTGTGGAATCAGCATTTTATGTTCACGTATTTTATGGAAGGCCCTAATGATGATGTGATTAATAGGAAAACATAATGATTATTAATTTGTTTCCCTAACAACAAAAGATCTGATAATGAGAGAGACAGAACAGAGCAATAATGCAGTTTTCCAGATGTCCAGAGGTAGTTACCCCAGTCTGTACTAAGGATACCTCCCACTCCTATTCTGTATTGTGTGCTGGTTGCAGAACTATTTTTGTGTTTTCTTGTCTTCCAAAGCTTCTCTGTACATAGAAAGACCCAATAAACACAGCAGTGCTTATGGCTCTGTAGGCTCCTCTACAGTCCTCTTACAGGTATTCTGTTGACTTTTAATTTGGAAAAAAATGAATTAAGTATGGTGCAATAGGAGTACTCTGAAATTGTGCCAATTTAAATTAAGGCAGATGAAATTTATAGATTGTCTATTTCAATGTCTCCTTCCCCTTTTGAAGAAACAGCACTGAGAAGAAATGAATAAAAGAATCTCCTTCTAACCTAGAGGATTTGAGCAGCTAAGGAGGTTGCATTTAACAAAATTCTTTAAGCTTTCTTGTCTGGTTGTGAAACTGCAAAAATAAGAGTTCTTTGAAAAAGTTATGTAGTGGGAAACTTTTTTAGCTTTTTGGGAAACTGACTAGCAGAAACCAAGATTTCCAGTTCTAGCAAATAAAGCTGCAGTTGATTTGACTTGTGCTGCATATATATTTAAATAAGCTTGCATATGCCTAGACACACCTACTTAACGATTTAACAACAACAAAAAAAGGATTAACTACTGGCTGGGTTCATACATGCTAAACGATGGTTTGTTTTTAACCATGGTTGAAATATGTTCCAGTGGCTGGAATCAGGCAAAATGGTAAGCCAAAATGAAACCACCCACAGTGTGTGAATTCAGCTACTGAGTTCTAAAGGTTAAAAAAAAGTGCTTGTCTTCTTAATATGGATTGGTCATTGAAAATTTCACTTCTAGCTTGTAACAGAAGAGTTAAGAGTTGGCAGTACTTACTTAGGAACCTTTTCTGTTATTTCATAAGGCTTTTGATGACTGACCAGGATTACACTGAATTTAAAATCTACAGTGCTAAGAAAGACACTGGTTAAAACTATTTTGTCGTCGTCTTCTAGTCTGCATAAACTTTTACAAGTGATGGCTTGCAGGTTAAAGTCTTTCTCAAGTTGAGGTTGACTTTTGGTGACTATTTAGCTACCACAAAGGCATTTCTATCCTGTTTTCTTAGCAGTCATACAGATGAGGTTTGCCATTATCTTTTCCACACAGGTTTTTTCAACTGCCTACTCTAATCTCCATCTCTGAGACTTTTTGGTTGTCTCCCAGGTCTGCTATTGCTTAACTCCAGAGTTCAGCCAAGATTGGCTAGGTGCTGCCATCTAGCTGGAGTTTACAGGTAAAAAGAAGTTTATAATAAAACTTGCAAATATATTTCATAGCTCTGCCTTTATTGTTAAAATAATCAGATCTCTAAAATCCCTCTCTCTCCAAGACTTCAGAAAATATTTTTCCTATAATGCTTTCTAAACCACAATGCCTTCTTCTTCCTATTGTTTTGAAATCCTCTCTCTCATGAAATGAAAGACCGGTAATTAAGCCACTGTGGTGTAGTGGTTAAGACAAGCTGAAAACTGGGAGACCATGAGTTCATCCTGCCTTAGGCACAAAGCCAGCTGTGTGACCTTGGGCCAGTCACTCTCACTTAGCCCTGGGAAGAAGGCAATGGCAAACCACTTCCAAAATCTTGCCAAGAAAACTGCGGGGACTAGTCCAGGCAGTTGCCAGGAGTCAACAATGACTCAAAGGTAACCCCCCCACACCAAAAAAAAATTAAGCCTGTTAAGGTAGTATGTTGAAATCTGAAAGAGGCCCTTGTGTGGAAGTTTGCACATTTTTGACCTTGAATGGTAAACTAGTTATGAAATAAAAATGCCTGGTTTGTTTGTTTCTGTATGCAGGCTATTTGGGGGGAAAAAAAATGTCGCCCCCCTCGGTTGCACATTATTTTATGTAACAGTGCCATCTTATGGTAAGACTGGAATCACTGAATAATTCCATTGAATAGATCTTGTTCAGATCTTGTAAACAAGTCACACCACTGTGGATAGTGCAGCAAACCATAGTTTAAAATCTTGGTTTAGCAGGATCCATGAACTCAGCCATTGTATATATTTTTCATCTATTGTATGCACTGATGTCTTAATATTTTGTTAAGAAATAAGCCATATTATAATAAAACTAATAAAAAGAGAGAGACGAGAAAGTTGCTAGCCTAAGACCCTCTACAGATTTTAGGGAACAGGTGAAATTTGACCCAAAGACATTAAATTTGTAGATCAATCTCAGCCACTACGTACAACTTAATTACTTTCTTTCAAAAAGCAAGTCTGGATTTTGAGAATATTCCTGAAACTAATTTATTTATTTACTTTGATGCATGCTGCCCATTCCTGGAGGACTGCTAGTAATTTTCCAGATTATAATTGGATAGAATTGGTTTACTAATATCTATTCTCCTTGAAGACAACATATTTGGTCTCTCTGATGAAATCAGTCAGTCAGTGAGATGGTCAAAGTCTTGTTCATATAAAAAGGTCTTTTACCTGTGTTTGAAGATGCTAAAGAAATTTATTTCAGAAGGAAATTCTAAAACGGGCAGCCACAGGGGACGACCTATCCCAAATCCTTCTAAAATGTGCCTCACAGTACCAGGGGAGAGGGAAGGGCTTCTCCCAAAAGTGTTTCAGCCTGAGATTGTTTTAGATAAGCAAAGGAGGTATTTAGGGTAGCCTAAATATTTAGAATTGTATAGTTCATACTGTAACTGGCGTTTTGATTAGTTCCCAGATTATATTATTGTGCATATTTTTCTTCTGGTTGATATTAACACTTTTTAAAAACTTCAACATCTGGGATGTAGTTGCCCAGCTATTAACAATAATTAGTTTGAAATAAATCATTTTAATTAGTGGTGTATCCTTCCTTTATGACTGCCCTATTTAACAACTGTTTGAACTTATGACGGCACTGAAAAGGTAACTTTATGACAGGTCCTTGCACTTATGACCATCACAGCGTCCCATGGTCATGTGATCCCCATTTGAGTGTGACTGCATCGCTTAGTGACAGAAACCCCTACAATCCCAGTTGCCATCGTTAACTGAATCCCATGGTCATTAGGTGAGGCAACTTTCTGCCAGCTTCCCATAACCAAAGTCAGTGGGGAAGCTGGCAGGAAGTTGCAGGTCCCAGACTGGCAAGCAGGTAAGTGGCTGCTGGTGAGTGGGGGGGAAGTGATGGGGTACACATGGGTGTGGTGGAGAATCAGGGAGGGTGCGAGCGGTGCACGAGAGGTCCTGTGCGGGTTGGGGAGGGTGCGCAACAAGCACTGCATGGGTTGGGGAGGGTGCACAGCAGTGCGCAAGAGGTGCTGTGCAGGTTGGTGCGCGAGAGGTGCTGCACAGGTCAGGGTGCGCAGTGATGTGTGTGAGGCACTGCAGGTTGGGGAGGGTGCATGGGGGAGCACGAGAGGTGCCACACCTGTTGGGGAGGATGTGCAGCAGTGTGCAAGCGGTGCCGGACAGGTTGGGGAGGCTGCAAGGGGGTGCATGAGAGGCACCTCATGAGTTGGGGAGGGTACTGCATTGGTGGCCAGTAGACTTTTGACTGTAACTATAAAA